AAAAAAAAAAGAGAAACCTTTATTTGTGACCACAGCCGACTCCATCTTTGTCTTTTGTCCTGATCCTTCTATGTTACCCTTCGTGTATGTGTCCATTTTCTTTATCCCCTTAACATCTGCTTGAATATTGGAGATAAAGGTGGTTATCATTGGAATTGAAAACTGGCTGATATTACGTTTCATAAAAGTTGAAATAAACAAAACTAACAGGTTCAGTAAATTACTATAGACCTGTTTGTGTCCCTGCCACTGGAAAGTACCCAAATCTCCCTATGCAGAAGTACTGGTGAAAGGGTGTTAGATCGGATATAAAAATGAACACAATATACACAATATGCTTTGAAAATGTGATATACGTACATAGTAAAAACAGCCACCAATAGTGGGTTTGGTTCTCAAGCTTATATTTATTTATGTGTAGTGAGAGTGGAAAGCAATAGCTGTGATATCAGTAGTATAACCTTTGTGTGGTTGTTTTGCAGTGGTGCTTTGGTGGTGACTGTGTGCCTGTTGGTTATCGTCCTGCTGCGGTGGATGGGTCATGGGGTTCCTGGAGCTCGTGGTCATCATGTACTCGCTCCTGCGGAGCTGGGATTCAAAGTGCAGAGCGGCACTGCAGCAATCCTACGTATGTAAACTCATGGTCTGGGCTCAGAATCAGTATTGTGGTTCCTGTTATTGATTATTTTGTTGCACCTTTTACTAAAAAAAATTAGCATGATTTCTAGATTTTTAAAGAAACTGCCACCTTGGAACTTATGTCGCGGTTATCAGTGGATTTTTGTGAGCTGAATTGCTCACTTATGTATTTTTCCACCCCTAGAGATGCGATTACTGGTGTGTCCAGTTCTCGTACCTCTTACCAATGTATCTTATTCCCTCTGAGCTCGGTGGTTATTGAATAAGAGGCTAAATTGAAGATGAATAACACTGCAAATTGCCATAGTCCAGTGGCAGTAGAAAAATCCATCATATTATCCATAGGTATCAGTAAATGTTCCATGCTAGTAACTGGTGTCAGAAAGTTTGTAATGTGAGTGTGTAAAATTAGTAAGTAGTAAGTTTCAGTGGCGATCCAGTCCGGGCCGAAGGTAATACTTTACTGGTAAAGATCTATGGCCGCAAACATCAACCCCATGAAGATTAATGTCAGATAGATTCCTCCTGCTTTGACAAACATCAGCAGATGCAAGGGAACGGAGATTTCTGAACACAGCACAAGTATGTTCAAGGGCAGACATCAAATGCACATTTAAAGCCCGCTGCCCATTGATTTGTGTTTGTTTCTATCTTGTTATGTGCTTACAGCCACCTATGTTCTCCAGTGATGCGGATGGAGGGTCTTGTCAAAAGAGATTGGATCTTGCAGGTGTCCAGTTTTATGGTTTAAACCTTGCAACAGGCATAAAATGATTAAATATATATGAGATAACATTGTTATTTCACATCACTGCAGATTACAATGGCTTATTAGCGGTATGTAAGGGTGCAATCAGAGTGACAAAGCAAATTAACTAAACAAGTGGAACTCTGGCTGAATCTTTATTCTTTGTGTTGAGGAAGGGTCAGGACCCATGTCTGGGTTTTAATTGCTGTCTGTGTTTTGCTGGAGTTTAACTTCAGTTCTTTCCCTGTTTTGTTACACTACTGGGGCCGTTGTATAAAACTGAAGGACAGGAACAGCAGAGGAGTTGTCCGTACAAGCCAGTTAGATTCCAAAAATCTTTTCCACTGTAGAATGGAAAAAAAACAAGAAGCTGATTGCTTTTTTTTTTTTTTAACTGGACAACACATTTTGTGAGTTTTTATTTGGTATATGATGCTTAAGTCAGCATGTGGTTATTCAGAAAAAATAAAAATCCCCTCCCTTTAGCTTTGTCCCGATTGCATGTGCCAAGTGTGGCTGCATCCAGGCATTTATGCCAATTATGTGTAACTGAAGATTGCTCTGCTCTACACACGCCTTTCAGCTGCACTGTATTTTTATATTGGAATGTTGTCAGCTGAAAACTTAAAACTACTTAAGTAGCTTTAGCTTTTTGAATGCATCATTTAAAGTGACATTAAAGTCAAACTTTTTCCCCCCCTTCCCAATCCTGCTGTAGGGACTTACCTTAAATGATGTCTCTTAATCCGATCATCTTCTACCTTACCGTCATTTTCAGCTGTCCCTCCAGCGCTGGTGCGGGTCTCCGATCCAGCGCTGACTCCTCTTCTCTCATGTCCCACGGAGTCTGTGCGGGTGCACGCTGCTCCATAGACTTACCTTGTGTCTCTCCTCGTCTCCCAGCCGAACATCTGAACTGCGCCCCAAGATCCTTTGCGGCCGCCCGAGAAATTTTCAGATGTTCAGATGGGAGTGCGCGGCGGAGACACAGGTAAGTATTAACCCTTTGAGGTTTTTTTGTTGCCTGAAGTAGATATATGCAAAAACATTCAAGGGTTTAATAACCCTTTAAAGGGTGAGTGCAGCCAAAAGGGATATTTCAGTATTGGCAGATTCTGTAGAAGGATTAAATTACCTAATGGTCATGTCTCTTATTTATTTCAGTAGTGAGTTCTGAGCTCCAGTCAAACAGCTAAATACATACTGTATATAGAAGCTGTTTTATCTGCCAAAGTATTAGTATTTTTGTCCATCCAGTCCTAAGGTTTATAAAGCCCTAATACAGCACAACCAGCCTGTAGATTGGCTTTCTGTACTGCAGTTGAGCTATACTTGTACTTTCCACTCATCCGGGGATTCGGACAGTAAAGAGTGAAGAAGCACACTGATGAACTCCGCTCTCCGCCCTGTCAGTGTTCTCCTTGTTAGCACAACTGATTGGCTCCTTGTGCTGCTTCTCTCTCTCTCATTCTCAGCTTTGCTGTAAGGGATTGCATGAGGCTGACATGAAGTCAAATTTAGGTATTTACACTAGTTGCTTTTAAAATGCACTTAATTATTTTTTAAGGTACACATACCTGCATGAGTTTGTGTTTTTTCCTTCCTGGAGTTCAGCTTTAAAGAAGAACTCCGGGCAAAAGTGTTATTACCCTTGCAGTGGGGCTACCCCTGCACTGCAGGGGTTAAGTACTCGTTTTTGTCTGGGTGCTAATAAATAAACTCACCTGAACCACCGAGCTGACTGCCTGCTTCTCCAGTCTCTGAAGCCTGTCTCCTCCTATGCTTTAGCATTGAAATGTCCCCAGGCTTCCTCACATCTATACACTGTGCATAGAATGTGATTATTTACAGTACCTTAGACTGCTGCAGAGGAGGGGGAGAGAGGCTGGAAGGCCAGTCTAAGAGCAAGCCGACTCCATGGTTCAGGTGAGTATAACTTTTTATTTTTAGCACCTAGACAAAACCGGGCACTTAACTCTTGCAGTGCGGTGGTAGCCCCACTGCAAGGGTTAATACAAGTTCTGCCCAGGGTTCTTCTTTAAAAGAGAACTACGAGGTAAGTGTTTTCCCCCATAGTTCTCTTAAGGGTCACGGGAGGACTTATACTAGTGTCCTCCTGTGAACCAAAGCTCAGAATATAGCAAGCTACAGCTCGCAATATACTGACACCGCCCCAGCCAATACTGTCGAGATCCACCCAGCTGCGTGCGTGACAGCTGGCTCTGCCTATCTAGAGGCTGAACCAGCTGTACGCTCCACCGTCAGAGGTGGAGGATTGGAGAGGGGAGGAATCCATGCAGGGAGCCGTGAGTGACAGCCACGGCTCTCTGCAGGGACATGATCGAGAAGTGAGCGAGCGCCGGTATGTGTTCGCTCACTTCCCGATCTACTCAGCCGACGTGTGACAGCTTCATTGTCACAGGTCGGCTCGAACTATGAGGATGAGTGATTTCCACTCACCTCATAGTTCTCCTTTAAGTTCCCGAGTCTGCACACCTGCCTGACTATTTTTAGGGAGGGCTCTACTATCCCTGTTTTTTTTTATTTTAGTATTTTATTACAGGTATTTATTTTCAATTCAGTTAAATGTATACAAATAAAACCAACAGTACAAAATGCTATTTAGTTCCGTTCTACATCTCCCAAACATTGACTATTGTGAAACTATATACCATGGCAACATGAGGATAGAGGTTAGGACCTGCAAGACAGCTGCTTAGAATAATAGAAAATCCTGCATCCAGGATAAATTCAAATCTGACATCTGCTGGAGACCCTTTCCAGTACCTTTCACCATTATAGGCATCAGCAGGACTGTCACTTCACATCTGTTTACAATGTTTGAGGTATCAGCACACAGAGTCATAATGATGTGGAAACTGCAGTTTTGTTTTGGTCATCAATGGCAGTTCAAGCAGTCTATAACAGACTTCCTTTAAACTTAAAACAACATTAAACCTCAACCCTAAACTTGAAGGGGAACTGAACTCTGTAAACCATGCCCAGAAGTCATAAAGAGGGCAAGAACTGATCTTTCCCCATTACTAACTTAGCATGACATGTTCGGCACTGTGTCTCTGTGTGGATGCAGCCATCTTGGTAGAGGCAGGTTTACTTTCCTCATGTTAAAGTCCCTAGCAGGGAAAGTAGTGAGCAGCAGCACAGGAGTGATATCACCAAATCTCCCTCCAAACCTACTGAGAATAGCAGAGGCACAGTGCCTTAGATCTTGTACTGCAAATACAACGCTAGGAGGAGGATTTCAAAACAAAGGTAGAGGTTCTCTATAACATAGTAATTCTTTACCTTTTGGGTTTATTTCTACTTTAACCCTTAACCTGGCCCTAACCTCTGACACTAAACATTTATATAAACCCTACAATGTCAAATACAATACTAGGAGCAGAAATATTATCATGTGTTAAATGTCTTTGTTGTTTAATGTACCAATTTGGTTGTGCTATAACTTATGCCGCAAAATGAAGTGATCTGTCTGCAGCCGCCATTTTGCATCAAGGCACTTAGCAGTCTAAAAGTGAAAACCTATAAGCAGAAGAAATGTATTAAAGGTAGAAATAATAATTCTCTTTTACTAAGGCATTTCATAACCTCTCGTGCTTTTATATGGTCACAGAGTTCATTTTTAATGCCCTTATAAACTACCGTAAAAGAAGCCTTGTCTTCATTACAATATTGTGTACTATAACCAATCATGCAGACAAGTAGATAGAGGAAACTTCATCACATATGGTTCAACTATCTTCACTCACTCAAGATGGCAATCCTTTTCAAGTATGTCTGTTATTGCACAGTGCTTGATTTTACATCAGTGGTAAGCACAGGGCTGTTTTTTACATAAAGGAAAACAATCTATCACTTGGAAAGCTTTCTTAGAGATCCGTTGGATTGTGACATGGCAAATATTTGCAAGTATGCCAGTGGAATAGTTTTGGCGCTCTCAGATCAAGAGAAAAGAGTGCAAATACTGGTGTGTACTAATTTCACAGAGAGTAATAATTATTCAAGCATAGGGCAGAGAAATGGGGGAGCATTCATGTTGTGTCATGCTAGAAAAATATATTCTATATCTAAACAATACAGTTGTTTCTACAGGCAAGCAAGATGTTGCCTGTAGCAAGAATGGCAAATTCTTTTATAAAAACAGGTAAAAAGTAGCTATGTGTATAGTGCTAGACTGAATAAAAGAAGTGATCTAGCACATTTGGACAGCTGAACTTCAA